AATCCAAGAATAGAGAACATCGAGAACTCAAGGAAGTATATTTTATACCAAGACTTTGCAACACTATTATTAGTTTGGGGAAATTGGCTCAAAATGGTGACAAAATCGTTATGCATGGTACTTACCTGTGGGTTCACGATGCAAAGGGAAGATTATTGATGAAAGTCATGCAATCTAAAAATCGCCTCTACAAAATCACGCTTGAAGAAGAAGAACCATGCATGGACTTACTTAGCAAAACGATAGAACCAACATGGTTATGGCATAATCGCTTAGGCCATTTAAGTTTTTCAGCCCTTAAACATATGTCTGATGCAAATATTGTGGAAGGACTACCCAATATAGATAACCCCAACAGCCTGTGTGAAGGATGTTTGGCCGGAAAACAAACACGAAAACCATACCCCACATAAACAACCTTTAGAGCTAAAAGAAGACTCGAACTCGTGCATGTGGATCTTTGTGGTCCCATCTCTCCACCCACACCAGCAGGGAATAGGTACTTCATGTTGCTAGTTGATGACTATACAAGAGTTATGTGGTCATATTTAATGAAAAATAAAGATGAAGCCTTGCAAATTTTAAAAAATTTCAAAGCGAAAGTCGAAGTGGAAACCGGTGAGAAGATTTTAACACTGCGTACGGATCGAGGGGGTGAGTTTCTTTCAAATCAATTCAACTATTTTTGCAAAGAAAATGGTGTAAATAGGCACTATACAACACCATACTCCCCACAACAGAATGGAGTTGTGGAACGACGCAATCACACCGTTGTAGAGATGGCAGAAAGTAGTTTAAAGAGCATGAAAGTACCTTATGTGTTATGGGGCGAGGTAGTAACTCATGCAATTTACATTCTTAATCGAGTAAACACTAAAGCTCTCAAAGATGGTACACCATATGAAGCATGGACCGGAAGAAAACCACGGATCGATCATATAAGAGTTTTTGGCTGCATTGCACACATGTAGGTAATCGGAAGGCATTTGAGTAAATTAGAAGCATGTAGCAAAAAGCTAGTACAGTTGGGGGTAGAAAAAGGCACGAAAGGTTATAGATTGCTTGATCCTGATATGGGATCCATTCGAGTAAGTAGATATGTGATTTTTGAAGAAAATAAAACATGGGAATGGGGTAAGCAATAAAATTCAAACAAACATCAAATGAAATCTTCACCTTTGGTATATTATATCTTGATGAAAACACCCGTGGAGATAGCGAGCAATATGGTGAAAACTCAAATGAAGACAATACTAATCCGGATAATAATGTACCTGAAAGTCCTCATAATATTCCATCAAGTCCTGAATCTTCCCATGAAAGTGCCACTAGCTCGACCTCGTCTACAAGCAATGCTCCAACCAAGTTTCGCACCTTGGCTGAAATATATGAAGAGTGTAGTGAAATTTTGTTCTTACATGATGACGAGGAACCCTCTTCTTAGTCTATGGCAAAAGGAATTGATGAATGGGAAGATGCAATGAAGAGTGAGCTAAGAGCAATCGCGGAAAATAAAACTTGGAAGCTAGTATAGTGGACAAAAGGAAGAAAACTCATTGGTCTCAAGTGGGTCTTCAAGATAAAAAGACATCCAAATGGAAATATCTTGAATCACAAGGTGAGGTTAGTCGCAAAAGGCTATGTACAAAAACATGGGGTTGATTTCGATGAAGTTTTCGCATCGGTGGCTAGAATGGAAATTGTGCTTATTTTACTTGCTTTGGCAGCCAAGAATGGTTGGATTGTACATCACCTTGATGTGAAATCAACCTTTCTTAATGGAGAATTAGAATAAGAGGTGTATGTAACTTAGCCAGAGGGTTTTATAAACAAAGACAAGCCAAAATTAGTGTACAAATTATCAAAGGCGTTGCATGGATTGCGACAAGCTCCTAGAACTTGGAACTCACGGCTAGACAAATGTCTCAAAGATTTGGGTTTTGTAAGATGTCCACAAGAGTATGCCGTCTACATAAGAAAGAAAAACGGAAATACTTATAATTGGAATTTATGTGGATGACTTAAAACAAACAGCTTATGCGAAATCCATACTTGAAAAATCAGGTATGATTGATTGTAATCCGTGCAAATACCCAATGGAGCAAAGACTGGAGCTAAGTGAAGATGAACAAGGAGAACCTGTTGATCCAACTTTTTATAGAACTATAGCTGGTGGATTGAGATATTTGACACATACACGACCAGACATCGCTTTTTCAGTTGGAATGGTAAGTCGGTTTATAGAAAGACCAAATTCACAACACCTACAAGCTCTGGACCATATTCTAAGATACATAAAAGGAACAACTACGTATGGTCTGGAATATGTAAGAATTAGTGAAGAATATGGTGTCATAGGCTATTCAGATAGCGATTTAGCTAGAGATGTGATTGACAGGAGAAGTACATCAGGTATGGTATTTTATCTCAATGAGAACCTTGTTACATGGAACTCACAGAAGCAACAAAGTGTGGCACTTTCATCCTGTGAAGCAGAATTTATGGCAGCTACAAGTGCCACATGTCAAGGAATTTGGATAAGAAGATTGCTTGGAGAGTTAACCGGAAGAAGGATCAGCCCTATAGTGTTGTATGTTGACAACAAATCAGCTCTGGAACTGATGAAGAACCCGGTGTTCCATGGAAGAAGCAAGCATATAGACACAAAATATCACTTCATACATGACTTGGTTGAGAAAGGAGATGTCATCGTGCAACATGTGGGAACTACTAAACAACGGGCTAATATACTCACAAAATCTATGGCTAAAGTGATGTTTGAAGAGATGAGAAGTTTATTAGGAGTGAAGAACATCTCGGTTCCTGAATTAGCAGGGAAAATGTTGGCGTAATTCAGGAAAAAGCCCACAGGGGCATTTTAGGAAAATTGCTTTTATTATTTTTGTTTCCCGGTTTTAGACTATGAGTCAAACTCTTTTTTCTTTTACTATAAATATGTTATGTATATAGGTATTTAGAATGAAGTTTTTCAGCAATAAAAGTTTTCTTTTCCACCAAGCAAAACACAAATCCCATTTTTCTTATTCCCCTGTTATCGCCCTTGTTCCTTGTTGTGCAGTTTTTTTTCTTCTTTCCTTCATGTGCTGTTTTGTTTTCTGTTCTTAGGCAAAAAGGTTGCAGCAAGGTATCAGGTAGATACCTTACAAATTTAGGGTCATTATAGCAACAAATTTAAGAACTTAAATATATTAAATTTAAATAAAAAAAATAAACTAATTAAGAGTAGTAAACGAAATTTGATTTCCATATATTCATTTGAAGTAATTATACAAATTTTCATAAATGTATAGGACAAGTACTCTCGATTCTACTTCTGCAATTGCCTCATAGTAGGAGACCATATAAAACTATAAACAAAAAACCTTTAATAATATGAAAATGAACATTTTTTAGGTAGCAGATAGAAACATATGCAAGTTATTAAAAATCTAATCGTATTCAATCATGCAAGACGTTCAAACAATTTCCACATGAAATTTCATTTAGTGTTTGGACTATTGTAATAACATCTACAGGTAAAGAAAAAAAAGAGTAGTTCTTTTTCTTTTCAAATTGAAGGGTTACTTGTCTTGCATCCCATTATAATATATATATATATAATATATATATATATATATATATATATATATATATATATATATATATATATATTATATATATATATATATGACAAGGCAAACTACTTATGTTACAAAATTTGTAAGTGTGTGAATTTGTTATATATAGAACGACATGTGAAAGTAGAACATGATGTAAAGGCAAATAAAAAAAACACGAATCCTATTGATTGGACCAAAAAGGATGTAATAGTTTTAGATATTAGATCAAAAATTAAAACTCCAATTTATAGAGATCAAGCAAGTGACTCACCATGCTAATTGCTCAACCCTTAAAAGTTAAACTATTGTCTATATACTCTAGTAAAACTATTGACCTCCAAACTTTTTCTTCATGAGGCATTTGTAGAAGAAGCTAGACAAAATTACAAAGAGTTTAATAAATTAGAAAATTACGACAGATCCTATAACAAAAAACACTTGAAAATAAGAAAAAACAAATACATACATGAAAATTATACAGTGAGGATATTTATTAATATTATCATAAATCATATGTAGATATTCCATTTTTCCAATTCATAGGTCATCCTGTAAAAAAGATTTAATGCCCGGAAGTGTGATCAAATCTGTTGTTCGTATCACTCGCTGTCTCGCTTCCTTTATTGTAAGTGCAGATTTTACAGCAGGCTGCACACCCTCAGGTAAATTAGGCATCCCCTCCCTACATATATAATAATAATAATTATAAATTTATAACCCAAGTGAATAAAAAACCCAATTTGTTATTTACCTGAAACTTGGACATGAGCTCCTCCTGACTAATGGAGTATGCATCCATAAACTCCACAACCTTTTCAACACCTTCACCCTGCCATTTATCCAAAACAACATTGAATTAAAAGAAATCATAACACTTTCTAAAAATAAATAAATAACTTGTACCCTTGGCAATGTCTTTAATGGATAAGTCATGTGCTTAAGTCAACCTCTGATTTGTTCCACTAAAACATTGAATAGATGTGAAAGATAACTTTTGTTACTCACTCCATATATAGACTATATATGGTTTAATGATAAATGCACTAATCAAATACAACCACAAAATATGAGACTTCAAATTGATGACCTAATAATAATAATATCTAAAAATTAAGAAAAGTCAACACACTTAGGCAATTCGTTTCAGGCAAAGACAAGTCAGCTGGACGAATCACAATTTTCAACAGAGGGGGAGGGGCAAAACGGTCACAAAGAACAATTGATCTAAAACGCAACACTTCATCAGTAGGTGTTACGACCCAAATCGCACTTCACGGATCCGATGGGTCGAAGGGGCAGCCGTTGACTGCCCGAGAAAAGTCAACACACTAGCAAAGATAAACTTCACCCCACCTCCCAAGATCTTACCTACCATAGCCATGAAAGATAAACTTCACCCCAATCTCAAATACCTCCCTTTGGTTATTTGTGGATATTTTTTCATTCCCTCGTTATCCTGCTTGCTTCATCATGGACTTGGCTCCAATTCCCAAATCTTTCCTATTTAACCCAACAAAATCAACTAAGAATTACCACCACATCGCGTCAACATCTTTAAATCCTTTCCTCAAACCCCAAACACCCAAAACCCTAATTTCATCATCTCAACAAACCAAACCCAAAACCCTCGTGGATTCTGCAGAAAATGAGAAGAAAATCATCGAAAAACCCACCATGTCTGATATTTTGAAATCCTCGAAAGCACAAAACCTTGAACTCCAGCTGCAAACAGTAGGACCCTTCTTCAGAATCACGGCAAAGAGCTTTGAAACGAACAAGGTTCTGGGAAAAGCGGAGGGGGTGATACGAGTATGGTGGAAGAAAGGGAAGATTCTTCATTTGGATTCAATTAAATTGACCCGAGAAACATTGGGTATGGATAGATCCATATTTGGAATCGGGTTGTTTATTGGAGCAGTTATGATCCGACATGGATATGATTGTGGGTGTAAAACAGCCGAGTTGCTTGCCATTAATGACTCCGATCTTTACCATGCCAAGGTTTTTTTTCATACTTTTTACTTTTTTTTTTTTTAACGGCTATTCTTAACCCACAAAACAAGACCATATTTAAACTGTTTATAAGTTTATTATAATATCAAATTCATTAATTCATATTGCGATATCGTTCTAAAAAAACTCACTCAATTATAAATTGCAATAACATCATGCAAATTTATTATAATCGAACAAGGAAAAAAATATATATTATGTATAATGAGTTAAGAGGATAACAAAGTTCCATTTTTGTTTACATTTTACTACTAAACTTGATTTTGGTGATTGAGTTTACACTCATGACCGGTTATTACCGGTAAGCGTATTTTTTGAAAACCAAAATCAAAATAAAGTTTACTAATAAATTGTATAAAAAAAAGTGACAAAGTTAAAGTTCGTTGCCTTCGTAAATTACTATTGATCTTAATATTTAAAATGTTTTCATTTTGTTCTTATTAAAAAATCTCAACTAATTTATAAAATATTTATATTTATAAACTTTTATTTTATAATTCCATTTTAAATGCTTAATTACTTTTGATCAAGATAAGAAGAAGATTTGGAATTACAAAATAAAAGTTTATAAATATAAATATTTTATAAATTAGTGGAGTTTTCTTTTTAACGATTTCAAGATGAAAAAATTCATATAATGACTTATGAAGATGACCAACTTTAACTTTCGTTCATACCCGATCGTTTTTTGTTTTTTGTATACCATTTACCCGTGAACTTGATTTTGCTTTACAAAACAGTATCATTTATCCTGTATGACTGGTAACATGTCTTGGTGATATTTTTTGAACATAAAAAATAATTCACAGGTAAATAGTATACAAAAAGGAAGTGACTAAATGATAAGTTTTAGTTTTAACTACTGAATAAATATTGATTTAACTACTAAGATTTTATTTTATTTTTTGAAAAATAAAATCTTTAAAAATCATTAGTTTATACCTGAGAACTTTTTTTATGATACAAGCATACAAACTGTGAATTAAAAAAAAAAAAAAAAAAGAAGAAACAACTTTAACAATAAAATGTCATTCCTCCAATGGTTTTGTGCAATGCATTATTGCTAAATCTTTACGGTTTTTTCTTAAACAAGCTAGAAAAAAAGTCTTTTGATTGTTGAACAAAAACTAAACTATACTTGTTTTTATAGAATTTGGAGCAAATGAAAATACATAAAATATTGAAATTTGAGAAATGAGATGGACTGAGTACTTGCATTGCAGCTTGTGAAGTTTTATAGAAGAATAGGCTTCGAAGCAGTGCATGAGGTGACAGGGTCGTCATTGGGAGACCTCAGGCACATGTTGGTGTGGGGTGGCGTTGGCACACGTATGGATGCCGATGTTGAACGTCTACTCATCAAGTGGTGTACACGATTTATTGTTACTAGAGGTTCAGACTCGTAATTGCTCGTATAGTTTTATTATTCGTATGCAAGCACAACAATTATCTCAACCATTTTATTATATGCATCATTTCTGATGTCAATGCCGTAAATGTTAGGAAAAATTGAACAGCATACAACACATACAATTTAAGTTATGAGCCTGAGAAGAGTTTACTTAGTATAATAAAAACATAAGAATTTACGATCAATATAATTGTGTTATGTTCATGGTTGAACTAAAGAGAAAAAATCATTGATAGGGTAGCGATGGAGAAACAATACAATTTTCAACACACAATCCCCCATACAATCCAAGTCTCAACTTCATTTGTTCGGTTGATCAAACGACTCAAAAATTTGTAATAAAAATCATAGTTCATTCAATTAGGTTGAATCGGCTATTTGGTTGTTTACAAGAAGCCCAATGCCAAATATCATTTACAAATCAGCCCATAACCAAACAATCTTTGTGGTTACCCGAGCTAATAATTTGTGGAATCTTTGATGAAAAAGGATATCACCAATCCATTTGTCATCTCAAAAGTTGTAAATAGGTTTTGGAATAGAACACTACCTATGATTTTTTTTGAAAAATAATTTTAAATCAGTTATTTTTTCACGAAGTCGAATAAAAAGAAGGATGATGTTAGTCGAAGTCCAAAGACCAATAAACTTCACTACTGCAAGAGACACCTCCATCCAGACCATGGATAGCCTTAATTACCAAAACCCACAACGAGTTTTCTCGGTAAGAAATCTCATACGCCATTTGTAAAGAAAATAAAAAACTAATGCACCAAGGCTTCAAACATCAAACCCACTTTATTCCAATTGATCCCCCACTCTCTTTCGGTGCTTTAATAATTTTATTTATTAATTAATAATATTTTAAAACAGTTATTTAATTTATCAAAAAAAATAATTTAACGTTACAAATAAGATGTTACATTTTGTAATGTTTTAGAGGGTAGAAACTTTTGATAGTAGAGTAATAATTTAATGTACTTAAAATTTTATGAAACCACATAACAAAATCAAATATATCATTCTCCAAAATATTCATAACCGTTTCACAAATCTAAAAGATAAACCAAAAACCTTGTTGCTACCATTATCAAACAACATATTTAATCTCCACAACCTTAAACTGGGAATCAAGCATTAGACATTGATCAACTAAAGAGACTTGAATCATAGGCTTCTTTGATTCAGTTTAATACAGTCTTTATCACTCACAATGGACTTTGGCATCCCATGAAGACGGACAACTTCCTTCATAAAGACCTGAGCCACCGTAGCTGCTGTCAAGGGGTGTCGTAGGGGTATGAAATGAGCATATTTGCTTAGCCGGTCGACCACCACCCATATGGTGTCCCATCCTTCCGACCTGGGAAGCCCTTCGATGAAGTCCATAGTGACTTCATCCCAAGTGTTCTCCGGTATTGGTAGTGGTTGCAAGAGCCCAAACAGTAACAATGTACTATGCTTATGTTGTTGGCAAATCGTACACTCTTTGACGTATTTGCTGATATCGCCCCTCATTCCGACCCAATAGAGTTCGTTGGCGATTCGTTGGTATGTCTTCTTCTCTCCCGAATGCCCCCCAATTGGTGAAAGTTCGATGAATCTTCGGATGTATTCCTCTGTTGTGCCTGTTTGACGGAGCGCTGACCACTGCTCGTACAAGGTACCACCATAGATTGGTCGAAAGCGTCGGGGAAGATGGAAGACGTCTTTCATCTCTTCCCAAGAGGTTATCATTTGTTGCTTGCTAGCCCATCGGAACCACCATAGAGAATCTCCGCCTAGACAGAGCACCGTTGCTTCGATCTTCTCTTCATTTATCAACTGATAAATGGCAAAATACCTTTCGGCCTATAGAATCCACCCATCGGGGTCATTGCCATCGAAGGTGGGCATGTCGACCTTCCGATGTTTGTATTCAAACCGACCCCTCCCTTGATTTAAACCTTCTAGCGACCCAAAAACTAGTTTTGGACCCCCACTGTTAGACCCGCTAGGTCTTAAACCCTCAGGACTGAGGTTCTTGTCCATAGTAGTAACGATTGGGGAGTAAAGGGTGTGTTTGGTTGTGGAAAATTTTCCAGTTTTCTAGGAAAATTTTCCAAGAAAAACAGAAATTTTGAAAACGCGTTTGGTTCGTTCAGTTTTCCAAAGTTTTTTAAGAAAATGAAAATTTTCAGTTTTTCAAATTATATGTAAATTAGAAAAGTGATTTTTACAGTTTTCCAAAGTTTTCCAAATTTCTAAGATGGAAAATGAAAACTCCATCCGTTCCAACCAAACGCGTTTTCATTGAAAATTGAAAATGAAAACTCAACCCTATTTTCTGAAAACATTTTCATAGAAAATGAAAACAGTTCTCCACAGCCAAACGCACCCTAAGAGTTTCAGCAACTTTACCTCGTTCTATCTTATCCATCTTCCCTACCAGAAGGTCTAGCTTCCTAATGATTTCGTTCTGCATGAGTTTGTAATCCTCCGTTGCTCTGACCTGTTGTTAATTCACCAGCTTTTGTTGTTGTTGATCCTCCCTGATGTTCCCCAAGCTTTCTTCCACAGCTTCGAGCCTCTTCTCCAATGGAGCAATGTTCTTTTGGGGAGCTACCATTTCGCTCTGATACCAATTGCACATAAAATAAGAAACTAACAGTTAGTGACAAAGAAACTCAAATGATATTGATAATCTCCATGCTTTTGAGAGGCAAGTAACTCTCCAAGATAGTTTTCACTATTCAATTCTTACTAGCTAACACTACCACACCCAAGGGGGTTAAATACAAAACAAAAGCAAAAAGGTAAATATCTCCCAGCCTCCTAGTGGTCCCGGGGACAGAGCTGACATAGGAAGGATAATGCTCACAACAAAAACATAAATGACCAATCAACAAAAAAGAAATATTCTCCTACGATTCAAGATGATGATTCATTGTTTGAGCTTGTCCCTGTTTTGGGCTTCTTGTTCCTTCTTTGATACACCAAGGTTTGGGCTTATCAAATTATTTGGATTTGGATAAAAAGAAATTGCATTTTAACCATGAGTCCTACATAATCCAATTAATAATAAAAATAAAAAAGAGTTCACACAAAAAAAAAAAAAAAAAAAAAAACTATCATCAATTAATAACAATAGTTTACATAATGTTCACAACTTCAAATATGCATATCATCAAAAGTTTCTCAAGCACCCCTTTTATTTAATATCCAAAATTGACTTCATTTGATAAACTATCATCAATCAAGTGAAAGCATAATAACTCTGTTACACTCAAAACCAACAACTTGAAGCTTTTTACATCTCTATCTCTCTTCATTTCAACAAGTGCAAAGAATAGAAAACAAAATAAGTGAAGCCATAATATCTAGAATATAAGTCATGACGATTTTTAACATCCCCCATGGAAAATGGAAATCACTAAACAACATAAAAATCAGAATATAGAAGATTTAACTAAAATTAGAGAACACAAGATTGTTATAGATATGTTTATAAATTAAATATGTTACAGAAATAATAGATACAACTTCTGGCTCTTGAAATGCAATATAAGTGTATAAAAAGGATATACTCAAAGCCAAGCATTTAAACCTACAAACATCATATAGAAGCTGCAACAAAAATTTCACGTTTCTTGTAGAAAATATGTTTGGAAGAACAGCAGCATGGGCAAGAAGGTTTCCAAGCTCTTCATCATTTGAATTCTCACAGCATGTTAACAAAACATGTGTTGATCTGGTATGATCCTAGTCTTCTTGCAGCATTTCCAGCCAGCTCCAAAACATAAATATCAATTCAAAAATCAGGTTGATAGTCAATTATATTATATAAGCTTCAAACTAACCTACTTCACCGATAGAAGGTGAATAAATAATAGTAGTAGTGTGTATTCAAACTTACCCAAAGAAGAAACATTGCATTTAGCATTTCAACTAAATAGTGTGATAATAAAAGAAACAAACAGATAGAATTAACAAGATGGGCATTTGGTCTAGTGGTATGATTCTCGCTTTGGGTGCGAGAGGTCCCGAGTTCGATTCTCGGAATGCCCCTCTATTCTACTTTTTTCATCAACAAAATCAATTCATTTTTATATAAAAAAAAATATTAAATGCATCATCGATTTTGTTTAATTTGATATTCTACTAAAGTCAACTGAGGACTTGTGGAAACCGCTCTACATCGATCTACCTACTCAAAATGCATAAGACAAAACATGTGTTTTCAATTTCATATATAAAAAAGAACCAATTTGGTGAGAATATGCAACTGCCTACCACTACCAGAATAAGATATATCTTTCTTATTTAAGCATTGTATTTTCAAATTCTTTTTTCTATATTAAAATTCTACTCAATTAAAGCAATGGGAATGGCTTTGTTTTAGTTGGGTAGATTTCAAAAGTATATAATACTTTAATACAAATCAATGAAAAAATAGATAAAAGTAAATTGCTGTTTCTACATCCACGATTTGTTACTGAACTTGTAATTGATTTTCATTGATACCTATGACACCTCAACTATAAGTATAACAGTAAGTAAATAGTCTAGGGCCTGTTTTGTAAATAGGGAAAAGTCAAAGTCAAAGATGACTTTCTTTGACCCATACAGATAGATACGTGTAAGTGATTTGCTATATATAGATTTTCCTCCCAGTTTAATGTTACCGCATACACACTGAATAAAGAAAGCCAACATTTGGCCATTTCTTGCCCTGATTCTTTATGTTACACATTTCCATTAAAAAAAAAAAAAAAAAAAAACTAGTGGGAGGAATTGTTTAATCAATTGAGCTGTTTAGGAAGAGTTCATAATCATGTATTGGGTGACTATTTTCTTCTGTTTGTTTTCCAACAACACATGGCTCACAATCTTCAAATATGGAATTGTGCCTTTAGAAGTCTTCAAATATGTGTTTTTATGCTTAATTAATAGTTGGTTTATCATTTATGGTATTCATATTTTTCTAGTTATATCACAATCATATATGGATTTCATACTATGATATCTTGTTTCACTAAAAATTAAGCCAAACACCATGCATTTCCATGTAGCAAGTTGTGAGGCTCTAGCATGGCATTTCTGAAAAGAAGAAGCTTGTTGATATTGAAGAAAGAAAATAAGAAGATAGCAACTTTTGAGGAC